ATTTACACAATGGAGTACTACTCAGCTGAAAAAAAAAAAAAAAAGCAAACCAATGGAATCTTGAAATTTTCAGGAAAATGGATGGAACTCCCCATCACAAAAAGACAAACACGGTATGTAATCACTTATATGCGGATTTTAGACACAGAGTAAAGGATTATCAGCCTTCAATCCTCATTGCCAGAGAAACTAGTAAACAAGGAGGATCCTAAGAGAGACAAACATGGTCCCCTGGAGAAGGGGAAAGGGTCAAGATCCCCTGAGCAAATTGGGAGCACGGGAAGAAGGGAGAGGGAGCTATGAGAATGAGACAGGTAGAAGAGGAGGGATGCAGAGGACATAAGGGAGCAGAAAAGTTGAGTCAGGCGAAGAATAGAAGATAACAAGAATGGAGATACCATAATAGAGGGAAACATTTTATGTTTACGGAGAAATCAGACGCTAGGGAAATGTCTGGAGATCTACAAAGATGACACCAGATAACAATCTAAGCAACAGAGGAGAGGCTACCTTAAATGCCCTCCCTGATAATGAGATTGATGACTGACTTATATGCTACCCGATAGCCCTCATCCAGCAGCTGGTGGAAGTAGAAGCAGACACCCACAACTAATCACTGAACTGAACTGGAATCTAATTGTAGAGAAGGACAAGTGAAGATCAAAGGGGTCCAGACCAGACTGGTGAAACCCACAGAAACAGCTGACCTGAACATCATGTTACTCTTGCTCCCCAGACTGATAGCTGGGATACCAGCATGGGACTGATCCAGACCCCAGGAACACGGGCTTCAGTGAGGAAACCTTGGAAATCTATGGGACCTGCTGTAGTAGATCAGTACTTATCGTTAGCATAGGTGTGGACTTTGGGAGCCCATTCCACATAGAGGAATAATCCTTGAGCCAAAAAACACGGGGGCGGGCCTAGGCCCTATCCCAAAGGACACGATAGACTCTGATGACACCCTATGGAAGGCCTCACCATCCAGGGGGCAAAGAAAGGATATGTGAAAGGTAGGGTTTTAGTTGGGGGGTGGTGGTAGGGGAGGATGGAAGGGAGAAGGGAACTGGGATTGTCATGTAAAACAATCTTGTTTCTAATTCAAATAAAAAAATCTGAGAAAAACAAAGAAATCACTGTTCCTGGGTACACTTTCTACTTTAATTTCTGTTAAGTATTTTGTCTCCCAAGCATGCTCTCTTCAGGGTGGTGTTGAAGGTAAATCGTCCCTTGTGGATTCTCTTATTTAATGCCCCTCACGTCTTGCATTTCCTGATGCCATATGATGCATCGATGTGTCTGTCTGTGTCCAGCCACCCACTGGGTACAGCCTGGTACAGGGGCAAGCAGGAATGCTGTGCATCCGTGTTGATATTCTACTGTGGTTCCATTTTCATTTTCTGCTTATGCATTTAAAAAGGTTTATAGCCCCTTAACAAACTAACTTCCTAATATGATTATTTTAATCAAAACCCAAATCTCTATTTTTAATAAACCTTATGTTCAAACAAAAGCCGGGTCACAAAGCAAGGGGATTAGGAGGATAAAAATGAAAATGTGGATGGAAGAGATAAAATGGAGCAAAAGAGAAAGCCTAAATGTATATTACCAAACCTAGTGCTTATTGAAAATTTTTTTGGCAAACATCTTTATAGATGCTACAAAGAGGTTAGAATTCTTACCTAAAATAATTACAGAACTCATATTTTCTTTGCAGTTCTTTCCTGGTTTGTTAAATCGGTGTGTGTGTGGGGGGGGTGTGAGCCAGCAACAGCATTCCTTTACACCTATAGTGAGGGATGTGAGTACTGTCAGAACACAGCACTTCTCACCTGGCAGGCTTCAGCTTGATCCCTCAGAGCCTTGATGCTGTTCCCAAATGCATTGAGATCCACCAGGAAGGCCTCGTGCTTCTTGAGAAGAGCCTGCATTTAGTGATGGAAAGATAATTAGGGCAAATATCAGAATGCCAGGGAGGTGCTTCAGCGACTGCCATTAATGGATTATGTGATCGAGTTCAGTTGCTTACTTTTATATTAGAAAATTCCTTTTCATATCACATTTGCATGACTCATGGACATTTCAGTAAACAAGTGAATAACAATTTCAATGTGTTTGTGGACATCAAAATTAACTAAGATTTACACACATTTTAACCAAGATATATCACAGCTGTGAGTGGATGTGACTGTTGAAAACACTATGGATAATCTTACTTTGTAGGATTTATTTATTTTATTTTAGTTTTTTTGATACAGGATTTCTCTATGTAACTTTGGACATCCTGGACTCACCTTGTAGGCCAGCCTGGCCTCGAACTCACAGAGATCTGCCTGCCTCTGCTTCCCAAGTTCTGAGATTAAAGGGGTGCTCTACCACCACCAGGCTTTCAGAAAAACTTGAAAGACACACTATTTCTAAGGCTAATGAAATCTACTTTATAGATATGTTGATTTCCATACAACACTGAACAAAACATATTGGTGGGTGTAAGAGGGATTGAAAGTAATTTACGATCCTTAAGGTTCCTCCTGTCTGTCTTATTTCATTTGAATAAAGGAATTCAGATGCTCATTTTAAAGGCATGGTTAGCCTGTAGAAGTTCAGGGTGACTCTGAAAAGTTCAGAATAGGGCCGGGACAGGTGTAGATCTTTGATCACTGACTTTGGATTTAGGCACTCTTTGTAGGATCTATGGGTTTCTATGAGATTAGAAAAAATGTCATATTCCTTTAGGATCTCTGTTAACTTTGTGCATATCACAGCAGATCCAGGCAAAAAGAAAAAAAAAATCACTGCTAAAATTTTAGGTAGTCTAGAATTTGATAGAATTTGGTGACTATTCACTGGACCATGGTCATTCCATCCCACCTTACCCCAGATGCTTCTTCATCAGCTCCATAGTTTTTGTTGTCTACGATTGGTTCTTTCTCTTTAATCCATGCTTCTGCTTCATGTAGATCTGCCAGGTATTGTTGGAGCTGGACATTGGCCTTGAGATCATTCTCCCGTCTAACAGCTCGAGCATGGAGAGACTCCATATTTTTGTTCAAGCTCTCAACCCTAGATGCTATGTCTTCTGCAGCAAAGTGTCCTGTGGAACAGATATAGGCATAGTGAGTATGACCCTCGTTCATAGCTGTCATGTTCTAATTCTCATCAAGCTTTGGAGGAAAAGAAGAGGCAAGAAGATGATGCTCAATTTAGTGAGGATTACAATAGAATTTCTGGGAGTTGGATTATCTTAAGTGAGATTAAGCAGTAATAGGTAGGGGGTAGATGTAGGTATGTGATGGAGAGTGAGTTGGTATAAGCTAAGGAATACAGACACAACAACAAACACCCAGGAGTGCCGTAAGACTCAGAGGTTGCAAACCTTTTCTTCTCTAGATTCAACATGACTAGCAGATCTCCATCCTCCCTTAAAAGTAGAAAACAGGTTGATATGGAAAGTATAATGATTTTCAGAGAATTAATGAAAGGAAAAGAAAATATGAGAGATGCCCTAATGTTATTGTAACTTATGCCCTGTATAGTTTGGAGGTTCTATGCTAGGAAACTAATCCAATCTAAACCTGAGTTGATGAGATAGAGAATAGGAAATTCAAGAACTAGAACTTGTGAGACAGAGAACTCAAGAGATAGGGACTTCACAGAACTGAGGCTTCAAGTACATTCAGTGAGGCCCCTTAGGATATCTGGTAATTCATGTGTATACATGCAAAGAGATGATGAGAAATGGTATGAAGGCAGCTACCATACAGTCCTTAGGATCCATCAGAATCTGCAGATAGTTTAAAACTACAACCCAATAAACTGAAAGGGTACCATCAACACAAAGTAGGGTTATAAGAAAAACATCTCAGTACTAGACTTATCTTTCAAGTCATCCAGTGATACAGTCTGTCTGAAGGATCATAATGAAGACCCAAGAAGCCCTTTGGCTGTCATACTGAAGAAACAAATATGAGTGATAAAGGGGAAAGGTAAAGGAGCCTGGAAAAGAAGATTCATGGCAGAAAGTGGATGACATCAGACTTCAGATCAGAAACCACATCTCTGAGAGCAACATACTTGCATCTTTAAGCTACTGTAATAGGCAATGAAAATACACTTGAAAAAAATGAATGGAAAATAAACTAAGACATTCACTTGAACAGAACCAAAGGGATTTATGGTTAACTGATCATACAACAAAGGACCTCCGAGGAAGTTGTTCATTCAGTAGGAGGAAAGCAGAGCAGACGGTAATCCTGACCAGTGCAAAGGAGCAGGAATAGCAAAAGAGGTCAATACATGGAGATAACTTTCTTCTTTCTCAATATTATTCAAAGATAATTGAAAACTGAAGTCAAAACAATGTTAAAGCATTGAAAGAGTTATAATGTAACAAAATTAAATTGTGTAACAGCAGAAAAAGAGGGAAAATGGAAGAGTGAACTAAAGGATGTTTGATTACACACAAAATGCTATACTATCTGAGGCTAAAATGTCATAAATTAAAATGTGTTTTAATTCCTAGAATAATAGCTCCCAATGCTTTGCTCTCAGAATATCTATAAAAATTTAAACAATGTGGAATACCCCCATTAAGTTGCCATACATATGAATATATTTATCAATAGTGCCCATATAAGAAGTTAAACATAAAACTTTGAGGCAAAAACTAATAAAAAACAAACAAAATAATTACATTAAAAACATTGAGTAAATTTCAGAAAAGAGAACATTTCTGGGAACAGAAAGGATATTTCATCTTGTAGAAATTACAATTGATCAGAAAGACAAATATATCAGCTATATTTGCTTATAATAATAAATTTTCAAAACATATAACAAAAATTGATGAGTATATAATAAGAAATAGAAAAATATTAACACCTATAGTCAGAGATTTAGAGAAACAAAAAATACATTCTATGGCAAGATAAAATTCAAAAACAAAAGATTAAACAACAACAAAAAAGGAAAATAAATTTCATTGGTTTGAATAAAAATTCAGAACTAAAAATTTCTCAGCAAAATTTATTTCAATGTATACTTTTAACTGGATACTAATAAGTGACTTGTTAACAGAGGGAAAATATTTTAGTGTAACCTGGATTTCTTGGCCACACTTGGCATATGATGTTCAAATCTGAACATCTTACTTAGAGAGTATAGCTTTCTAAGTATGGGCGCCAAGTGTGTGCATAGTCACTAAACTTTCATGAAATGATAAATTTGAAGGCATGGCCTTTGTATTACTTTCATATAATGTGTCCCGAGAAGCAAAGCTTTTAGATATTTGGAAGCCCTCACATAGGGAAAAGCCTTGTGTTTTACAAAGCTTTGCAACTTAGATTTGAATTCTGCAACTTCTCCAAAGAAGCACATTCATTATTAGACTAAAATTGATTTATTTTAATGATTTCAGATTTGCAATAAATAGAGATGATTTAATAATGCATTCAAACATCTTCTACAGCAGGATTATTAAAAAAACACAATGTATACTGCTCTAACAGAAACACTCAAAGGGAATATCTTCATTAAATTGAAAAGTGATGCCATCTACTTTTAAATTCACTTTAAGTACTAAGATTATCTAAATTTCTTTCCCAAGGTCTGTCATGATGGAGTTTTGGCAAAATCAATCAGTGTCACACGTACCTTCCTCTACCATTTTGTTTCCCCGCTCTGTTATCACTTGAATACGTGGCTCATGGCTGGCAATGTCTGCCAAGATGACTTCATGTCTGTTCAGAAGATTCTTGGCTGCAACCAAGTCCTTTCCTACATAGAAAAAAAATATAAGGCTTGATATTATCCTTGTAAGTGGGACTTGCTTGTGAAACATGTTTCACCTGTGGCCCAATATTAGTATCACCTAAATATGACCACTGAAAATTTCATCTGTCTTCACCCTCCCTCTATCCTCAGCATGCTTAACCTCTCTAATTTCCAGACTTTTTTCTCTGTACTTAGCACTACAGCATCTCTCCAGACACTCTCCACGCAATTTCAACAGAATTGATATTTTTTATGAAGGTTTTGCAGACATAACCCTCTATGGACTTTCATAGATGCTCCCAGTACATCTGCATAAAGTTGTACAATATTTGTGTGTGCTTTTTATGTCCATCAAAGCAACTATCCTGGAAGTTACACTTATGAATGAATGAGTTCTAAAGTGTATATCTACAGTTCACTTTAAAATCTTTGTGGTAGGTCATAGAGTTCTCAGAGGATCATCAATAACTCAGACAAATACATTTGATGCATCCAGCATTAGCCATTTCTTCTCAGTAAAGAAGTTTCATTTAAAAAAAATAGCAGCTCAATCTTCAGAAAACCAAGCATGCCAGATATTCCCCCGAGGCCTGAATTCATGCCATTGCTTATTTTTCTCTTACAAGTTGAATCTGTTGGTCTAAAATTTAAATATTAAACTTTGATGGAGGTCTGAATAACATTTCATCAGTCTGGTATGGAAGAGCTAAGAGTAAACTTTTATCCCCTCACTGTTGTATCTTGTTCTTTCAGTCTGGAGAACTTGGACCTTTCCTGACTGCTCAGTCTGATTGTGCTGCACTGACCGAGATGGGTGGAAGTTGCTGAGGGTTCAGTCTCCTGTATCCAGGCCTCCTCATCTTCTGAGTCCCTGCAAATCTGCTGTAACTTGAGTAAGTCAATGAGCTTCTTCTTCCTAGTGGCCAGTGGGTCTTTCAGAGCTTCATAGCGGGAAACCAAGGATTCCTGCCTTGCACGTATGTCCCCAGAGTCAGGATGGCCTATTTCTTCAAAATGTGCAGCCATGTCTGTGAGGGTGTCCACTTGATTCTGATGGAGAAAAACAATGTGTGTCAGGAAGTTATATAATTTATTAAGAATGGATGACATTTTCATGTGCTGAAAAGTGGAGGCCCTATCACTTTAATTTTTCCTGTGATGCTAGGGTTTTAATATTTTTCAAAATATTAAGATTGGTACAGGAAACTGCTTCCTGAACATTACACCCATAGCACAGACACTGAGATCCACAATTAATAAATGGGACCTTCTGAAACTGAGACGCTTCTGTAAGGCAAAGGAACAGTCAACAAGACAAAACGGCAGCCCACAGAATGGGAAAAGATATTCACCAACCCTACAGCTGACAGAGGGCTGATCTCCAAAATTACAAGGAATTCAAGAAGCTAGATTCCAAAACACCAATCAATGAAATTAAAAAGTGGGGTACAGAACTAAATAGAGAATTCTCAAAGGAGGAATATAAAATGGCTGAAAGACACATAAGAAAATGCTCAACATCTTTAACCTCAGGGAAACGCAAATCAAAACAACTCTGAGATACCATCTTACTCCTGTCAGAATGGCTAAAATCAAAAACACCAATGACAGTTTATGCTGGAGAGGATGTAGAGAAAGAGGAACACTCCTCCCCTGCTGGTGTGAGTGCCAACTTGTACAGCTACTTTGGAAATCAGTATGGCAATTCCTAAGGAAAATGGGAATCAGTCTACCACAAGATCCAGCAATTCAACTCTTAGGCATATACCCAAAAGAAGCACATTTACACAACAAGGACATCTGTTCAACAATGTTCATAGCAGCATTATTTGTAATAGCCAGAACCTGGAAGCAACCTAGATGCCCCTCAATTGAAGAATGTATAGAGAAAATGTGGTACATTTACACAATGGAGTTTTTCTCAGTGGGAAAAAACAACGGAATCTTGAAATTCACAGGAAAATGGATGGAACTAGAAGAAACCATTCTGAATGAGGTAACCCAGTCACAACAAGACATACATGGTATGTACTCACTCATATGTGGATTTTAGATATAGAGCAAAGGTTTACCAGCCTACAGTCCATACTGTCAGAGAAGCTAGGAAACAAGGGGGCCCCTAAGAGAGACATACATGTCCCCCAGAGAAGAGGAAAGGGACAAGATCTCCTGAGCAAATTGGGAGCATGGGGGAGGGAAGAAGGAGCTAGGAAATTGAAGAGGAGAAGAAGGGGAGTGAGGGGGACATGAGGGAGCAGGAAGGTTGAGTCTGTGGGAAAAATAGAGGAGAACGAAATAAGAGATATCATATTAGAGGGAGCCATTATAGATTTAAAAAGAAATCAGGCACTAGGGAAACATCCAAAGATCTACAAGAATGACTCCAACTAACAATCTAAGCAACAGTGGAGAGGCTACCTTAAATGTCATCCCCTGATAATGAGATTGATGACTAACTTATATACCATCCTATAGCCTTCATCCTGGTGGCTGGTGGAAGTAGAAGCAGACACCCACAGCTAAACATTGAACAGAACCAGAACCCAGTTGCAGAGAGGGAGGAGTGTTGAGCAAAGGGGTCCAGACCAGGCTGGTGAAACCCACAGAAACAACTGACCTGAACAAGGGGGAGCTCATGGTCCCCAGACTGATAGATGGGAAATCAGCATAGGACTGATCTGGACCCCATGAATGTGGGTGTCAGTGAGGAGGCCTTGGAAATCTATAGGGCCTTTGGTAGTAGATCAGTACTTATCCCTAGCATAGGAATGGACTTTGGAAGCCCATTCCACAGAGAGGGATACTGTCTCAGTCTAGACATACTGGGGAGGGCCCAGGCCCTATCCCAAAGGATATGACAGACTCTGAAGATCCCCCTATGGAAGGCCTCACCCACCCTGGGGAGCAGAAAGGGTATTGGATAGGTAGGATGTTAGTGGGGGGCAGGGGAGGAGAGGAAGGAGAGGGAACTGGGATTGACATGTAAAACAATCTTGTTTCTAATTTAAATAAAAAATTGAGAAAAAATTATGGATGACATTTTCATGTGCTGAAAAGTGGAGGCCCTATCACTTTAATTTTCCCTGTGATGCTAGGGTTTTAATATGTTTTCAAAAGGATTGGTAAGATTGCAAGGATGCAGAATACGAGAATGGGAAGCTCTTGTGTTATAGGTGATAGTATTGATACAGACAAATGTGAAATGGGCCACAAGTGAGCAGATGAAATGCAAATGGCAAGGCTGTCTAAAGAAGTCTAAGACTCTAGACTGAGAGAATGGTGTGCTATTTAGAATAGTCAGTAGGTGCTTACATTAGCCATCAGCTTCCAGGGAGACATGCTCAGTAGAATGATGGGACATGAGAGATAGTGGGAAGAGGCAGTTGGCCAACTAAATCTTTGAAAAAATTTCCTTTGATTTCCTAATCACTTAATAGGAATAATAATAATTACAGATTGCAAATATGCACAGAGTATCTGTCCAGTTTTCTACAACTAGCATAAAGCTAAAACCAAACCTGACGAGCAGCCACAGCTGACTCAAGAAGTCCATGTTTCCTGAGTAGATTCTGCACATCGGCCAGGCCTTTCCCATAATCCTCAGAGGTGACCTGCCACTCCACGTCCTCCAGCCAGTGTTTCAGGTCTTCTGCATTGTTATCAAACTGTAGCAGCTGGTTAGCTTCATACAGCTCGGTCCCTAGGGGAGGAGATCGGGTAGAAGACACAGAGAATTATGGCTTTTCTCTATACACTGTAATACCTCAGCCCTCAACTTAATGAGGAATATGTTTGGATATTCCAAAGAGAAAAATAAGGGAACTGTCTTACATCCTGTTAGAGAAGAAGTCATCCTAAGTTAGAATTCTGGTGGTATTTGGTTTTACATACAGAGATGTTATCAACACACCAACAGTAAGTTAAATTCTCTGGTGAAATGCAGTTCTACTTATTAGTTGTCAACTGTTTTGGGTATTTTCAAGTGTCATTTGCTACATGTTGTACAGACCCTTCTTTGGATAAGATCCAAGTCCAAACCTAACATTTGCTCAACTTTGGGGGCTGGGTAAGTATGAAATTCTGAGGTGGTTTTGAATATGGCTAGCATTACTACTAGTGACTGTCTTTTATTACAAACCATGTTTCATTTATTTTATCTTCTAGAAATACCTTGATGATTCCCAGTATATTTGGCTACTTCTCTATTCAATTACCTTGTAGCTATTTGCATTAGTATTCTTCAAAACAATTACCGTCTCCTGCTGTGAAAAGTAGCCATGGCATCTTATTATTAAAGTGACACTGTATTTGTTTCATTAAGCCTCAAATTAGGATGACATCCAAAGAAACCAATGTGACATCTCCTATACCATTTTCTATACCCAGGTCAAAATCCTGTCTACAAATGAGAGTCATGACAAAGCAGATACCAACAACATACCAACAGAGAAAACATCATTTGTAAAAATACTGAAAAATGTTTAATTTCCTAATGTAAGAGGCAAGATAAAAAATAAGTGAAGATATATATTATAAAACTTATAATAGGGTCTGGTAAGTTTCTCATAGACAAAAAAGAAGCATTTTCTCAACCCTACAAGAACAAAATACATAGGACCATTGGGTGTGACACCAATAATCTTTTCATTTCTAAACTCTTAATGTCAATTTCAACACTTCATATTATGACCCACTTATAAATCTAGTTTATATAACCAAACATGCTAAAAAATAACTCTAGCATATTAGGTTTAGATACAAAGCCAATACTGAATTCATGGCTTTCAATATTCCAACATTTATTTAAGAAAAGAAAAATCTAGGAGAAAATTGAAGGAAAAAAGAAAGTTCCAATGACAACAACAAAACTCCAATGTAAATAAAGGAAATATTTAAAGGATTAAATATATAACATGATATATTTAGACTAGATTTTAAGTGTTGATGACAAGATGACACAGGAAAGCAAATGGCTAGGCTTCCATTGCAAACAATTCACCAAATATCAAGATGATGAGGACAGAAGCAATATATTTTAGAATAAGAATTGAATTATCCTTTACCCAAAACTTTGCTTCTAACCTTTTAGTGCTGTTGCATCCAGCAACTCTTTCCAGAGGTTGGCAACCTCATTCATGCGAGCGGCCACAGCCTCAGAGGCGTAGTGACCATCCTCAATCATCTCCTGGCCAGTTTTCTCCAGGTTGTTGAGCATAATCTTATTAGCCGCCAGTTCCTCTTCAAAGTCTAATTGCTTCTGAACCCGGCTCTTCAAGTTCTGTACATCCTGAGAGATGGTGAGAAAATAAAGGAAATAATTGCTTGAAGAAGGAGGAACAGACATTCTGAGGAAAACCAGAACTAGATGATGAGACTCTATAGAAAAATCAAAGTAGAACTGAACTGGAAGATTCTCTCCAATTTCACTATCTTTCATAGCACCAGAAAGTACCGATCAGGCTAATAGAGAGAAGGCATCAGCAGTCTTACTCAGATATGAACTCAACTACACATAACGCTAACTTGCAAGATAAACATACCTACTAGTGAACTAGAGTCAGGGCTGCCTTGGGGTAAACGAGTACTCTTTGCTTAAATGTGAAGCTTGTTCACCCAAAGGGAACTCATATTTGATGCTGGAAAGCTAGTCAAAAGCCCGTGGCTGAAGAGGTTTCAGTCCTTAGGGATAAACTTATTCCTATTGTAAATTGTCATGGTGTCAAACTGCCATATACATATATTCATAAACAAAGTTACTCTTAGCCTTAATCAGGAAAGCATATCTGTGCAATAAATGATGCTGAATGCAGAGGTAGATGTTTGCTGAATGTGCTGACAATAAATAAAGGTGGAGAGCTTAGCCCTAAACTGCCTGTAAGGCTCGGGACCATCTTTAAAGAAATGGTAGAAAGAGTATAAGAATGAAAGGATAGGGAGAAGGGATGTGAAATGCTGGGCATGACACAGTCAGTGCCGTCATTTTCTGCCAGCAGATGTGACTGATTGCAATGGGGTTGTATTAGGCTGGGCATATCAACAACCAAACACAGATCAGCAGAACTTATGGGGCCTTACCATTCAATGCATCCTATGGGAAGACTGTTTATTGTCTTCAGTTGTTCATCTACAAAGGAGTTCACTAGGCTCCAATGCGTACATCACACAGATGACCCAGGTTAATAAACAAGTCTCTCTCTCTCTCTCTCTCTCTCTCTCTCTATATATATATATAT